CGCTTGTGATGACAGTCCCACTCACGACAAGCTGCCGGAAGGGCAAGGGACATCGGCCGTGTGGCGAGCATTGATCGCCGGATGACTGTGAGATTGAAGTGCATCGAGCCGAGCAGTAGGCAGTTGCCTGTGTTCATAACGCCGTCTCTCTGGCCCTGCCTCTCTCTCGCACATTATCCCACACAGGGTCGTGAGCTGCTCCCCCACACTTACGGTGGACATCCGGCACCCAAGCACGGCCAGAACGGCTAGCATCCGATGTCCACGTGGGGATGATGGAGGATCTAAGGGGAGCCCAGATGGGAAGACAACAGACGGCGCTCACTGCTGTTTCCCCCTTGTCCAAGCATATGTCGTGTGCGGCTCTCACTGCCCGCTACGTCGTACGTGTATCCCCCTCACCACCCGTCAATCACGGCTGACGTTGACAGTGGGAGTAGGTTGTCGCCTTGCCCTGTCTCATCCGGTGCAGGCGCAGGCTCCGGTGGGAATGCCGTTCGCCTTTGGTTCACTGTCCAAGTTGCCCTCGCAGGCGTCGGGCCCTGATCCCGAGGTGAATTGGAGCGGCCGCTGGTCAGCTGGCAAGAGTTGGCCTGCCGGGGATGGGCGGGTCGTGTGGTACTCGCTGTCATGCGCTTCAGGCTTGTTTGTAGTTTGTGTACACCGTTTGCGGACGCAGCGGCAGCGGATGAGATGCTTGGACGTGGCAGAGCCGGTGGCAGCTTGGGAGGCTGGGTGACATGCTCTCCATGCTTCGTGAACGCGGCTGTCGATGGTCAGATTCGCTGCTTGTTACTTCGCTGGCTGCGACCGAGGACTGTTGTGCCGGGGTGGCCAATATTGATGTCGGGGCGTATGCTCATTGCTTGGCTGCATCAACAGAGCGAACAGGGTTGCATAAGGCCACTTCCGCACGTGGGCGTTGGCAACAACAAGTGCATTGAGGCAGACGGCAGGTTTGGTGAACCGGCGGGAGATGAGGCGCTTGAAGGCAAAGACAGGATGTTCGGCATGGGCTGAAGGCGAGTCCGGAGGGGCTTGCCGGTTGCATGCTCAATAACCTTTGTCTGCATGACGGCAGGATCGAGATGACTGGGCGGACACTGCAGACGTGTGAGGGGTTTAGCGAACGAAGCCCCCATTGCGCAGATGGTGTCATTGTGACGTACTGTGTGGTGACTATCCCTATTCTGTCCCCACGTTCATGGGGACATTCTGGCATGGCATTCGACTCTTGAGCGGGTAGATCGTTGACAGCCTGGACGGTCCCGAACTGTTGCATGCTCGGGCACGCAGGGCTTCCTGCATCTCGGACAGGATTTGGCTTTGGGTTCCCGTCGCACGACGCAGGCTTCCTGGCTTCCTGGGATTGCGCGCCCAATGGTGCCAACACACCATGGCCAAACCGCCATGTTGAATTTCGGGTTCCCGAGTCGTGCCTCACGGGGGATATCCGTAAGCTACCATGGACGGACGCGCAATCTCGAGTCCGTCCCCACAACAGTAGGGACACTCCGGCATTGCGTATGCCAGTAAGCGGGTCCATCGTCGGCAGCCTGAGTGGTCCCACCGCGTTGCGTGCTCGGCCACTCAGGGCTTCCTGTATCTCGGAGAGGATCTGGTGGTGGGTTCCCGTCGCACGTCGCAGGCTCTCCGGCAGACTGCGAACGGGCCGGGGTCGCATGAGTGGTCATGTAGACACAGTAGTCTACTGGGAAGCCCGTTACGCTGTCCTCTCACGCTGCACTACGTGGACCCATCTTCCGATAATGATTGACGTCTGAATAGCTGGGCGTGCGAGTTGTGTACAGGCACAGTGGGCGCAGTGCGTTTACTGATGGGATGGTCCCTGGACCGGAGCCGTTATGGTGATCTACTGCCGAGGGACCGAGCGGCACTCAGATTCTTGGGTCCAAACGTGCAGTTGGGTAGGCCTGGCGCGAGGTCGCGAGCCCAGTTGCGTGGGCCAAAATACTGTGGTCAATTTGTGCTACAACCTCTCAGGCTCGGTTTGCTGGAGAGGTATTTGTGGTCGACCGGCACGTTGCAGTACATGGCAGATGAACAGGCATAGCCGTCGCGTCGAAATTCGGTGACTCGCGCTGTCCCTCGCAGTCAATGTCCATGTTGTTATTGAGCCGAGGGGAAGGCACGGCAGGATTGCGTACGCCCAACTCGGCTGTGCCTCTGTAATAGATCGAAAATGAAATCAGTTGAATCCTAGCATGGCCACGACCGTCGTCCATAGCGTGCCGATGTATCTACGACACAACAGGAGGCTGCAGAACTCACTATGTACAATCTGGACGACCGCACGAACGTCCAGCGTGCCCAAGGTCGTCACGCATGCTGCTTCTGTTCTGCGTCGTGACAGGCTCAATTTGACGTCTCAATTGTTGCCGTCAGCCACAGGTACCTTGCCGTGGGTCTCCGGACGGTGGCACGCATCATCCAGATGAACGGTCGTCTTCTGATATGCAATATGCAATACGCCTCTTGCCCTGCCTGACAAGGGAAGACGCGAGGTTAGCGAGAGCCGTGCGATTGTCCGACCGTTCATTACGGGAGAAGCGCAGCTCGTGCATCTCGGCTGGTGGTCTAGCGACTGTCAGATATGCTCGGCAGAGAGGCATGACGAGATCCAGATAGCAGAATACTACGTACAGTATGCGAGCTTCCGCAACAATGCGTTTGGGCGGGCGAGCACGGGAGTAGGATTACGGACCGTCAGGAGCAACACTGGGGTGACGAATATCGAGAACCCCGAGCGGCCAGTTCTGGTGCTGGTAGGCGATGTTGTGGCCGAGAGTCATGCGGGAGGGGGGATATCTTGTATAATACTC